GATAATCTCCCCAAATTATGGCACCTATATTCCATCATACCACAGTGGAATGTGGTATGATGGTGCCATAATGTAAAATTTGTGGGCCACCAGGACAGAATAAGCGTAAGTGGGTAGTAGATGCATGCTCAACTTGCTCTAGCCGTTAAAATAAGCACTTTTACAGTTTTTTGAGATGATTGGTCGAGGGAAAGCGGGCGCTACCGGTGGGCGGGGTGTGTACCGATGTGGGTTTGGTTTGTCGAGGAACATTTCAATTCGGTTTTGAGACAGCTTGGACACCGGAAGAAGTGGAATGAATTCAGGTAATATAATACTAATGATGGACGAGGTGCGCAGGCGTAAACCTGAATTCGACTGCTTCGGTTGCCCCGTTCCTTATCACCAGTGAACGTGCTGTGAAGGGGGCAGCATGTGGCGTGAAGCTGGTTAATACATATTAAATTAGTGCTGGCTCACCTGTTCAACTTCGTGTTTCTCCATGCTAAACGTTATTCGTTCCCTACTGGTTTCTTCTGGATGAGATTCAGGCAGCAGCATTCGTTCAGCGGTCAGCATAAAGTCGTTATGGAAACCGCCAAACGATGCCAAACGGTTATATGGAAACGAGCGAATCACGTCCTGAAAATGAAATGAATTCGGTTCTCAGGATTGTAGTGAGCAAGGCATGAGGGAACGTACAAAGTGTCGATGATCGACGATATGGACGGCAGTGTCGGAGAGGGCGAGGAAGACTTTCCGTTCATTGCTGGTTCTCATACCAGCCGCCTGTAGATGACATCCGAACAACGGCCATTTTCGAAGCACCTGCAGCGGTAGTCTATTTTAATTGGTGTTTCAATGATTAGCTTTTTCACAGCAGCTTAATGGAGCGTTCATAGTTGGCGATCGTACGTGCGATTAGGCGATTAGGCGAGTAGTCGATTAGGCGAGTAGGCGAGTAGGCGATAAGAGAAGGATACGTATTGATTTGTTGCTCCGCCCATTGAGCGATCGCCTAATCGCCTATCGCCTCGCCTAATCGCCTACATTGAATACTAACGACATACAATCGCCTAAGTCGACCCAATCGCAACGTACGATCGAAAACTCTGAGTCGCTCCATAAGTACACAAGGCGCACAATGAATTGTTATGGCTGCGTGTCGATTGCCTGCGACATTAGGCGCTGTTTCATTACCTGACTTCATGCAGTGGGTCAACAAGAGATCGAAGCTCATCAACCCCCCGGAAGGGTATCTTTTTAGCGGGTTTTTCAAAAGCATTCTTAGGCTCGGCTCATTCAACTCGACTGGATAGAAGAGATACACAACTCGACAAAAAGTGCAGAGGCCTCAAGATGGGATGACGTGTGCCCTCCCACACTTATGAGGGTAGGAAGAACAGTTCCAAGAACTTGATTCAAAATGAAAGAGCGATTGGCCTGCCGAAGAAAAGCTGACCAACCTGTAGGATGACCTTTTATTGCGTCCGACTCGCCCATTCCATTGAGCTCGCTCCAACTACCATGCAGAGAGGATCTATAAAATGACATCCGGAAGTGCAATTATAGGTGACAACAGCTTTCAAAAAGCCTTACCTCAAGGACTTCAAGCAAGCTACATCCAGCATTTTCGCAGGAAAGAACTGTTTCGTGATGAAAGCGAATTGTTCATCAGAAATTGTTTGCGATGGAGCGTCTCCGTAAGAGAGCTGGAAATATGCATGTCTTGAGAGCAGTTGGAAATGGATATTCACAAAAAAGGCTTCCAAAAAAGAAAGAGAATGCGAAAAATACCTGTGCGTATAGCGCAGCTAGTTGTTCGGCTAACTGAGGGCTCGTTGGAATTCGACTGCTCACCAGTTCTTCGGCCATTCGCCATACAAGAAACGATCGCTCCATAGCGGTCTCATTGCAAGTCTGAAATTTGGGAATCATTTGGGATGCCGTTGTCTGACTTGTTGTGCAGGACTCACCAAGTGCCTCCAATAATGCCTCATTCGCAGGGAAAGAGTTGCTGTACAGTCGGATGAGATTCTTCCTCTCAAAACGTCCCTCAACCGAACCTTCCCATTCGTAGAGGCAATCGCAAAGCTGTAAGGAATATTTCTGTGATTTTGGTGATGGCAGAGTAGTTCTGCATTTTATCAAGTAATCCAAAGACTACCGAACCTGAGAAAACACTGATTACGAGCTAATAAGTACGTTTCACGGGAGTGTTCTCTTCATTCTCCAACGATGCTCGAGGAAGTCAAACTCGTGAAGGAAACGAACCTTTTGTTTTCCTTTGAGCAGCTGTAGTCCTTTCGTGGTTGGATCGTCGATGTACAGGGCATAGCCGGAGAGCAAAGCCGGCCGTATACCAAGTTTCAGGCAGAGGGAAGAGAGGCATTGGCCGATTTCCGTTGAACCATCGAACTCAACTACCTGAAAACTTCTCTTTGCGTTCTGCCCAATTAGCGTTAAAGTCTTCGCTTCAGAAAGGTCGCTGGTTACTGTACTGGTCGGAAAGGAAGAGAGTTTTGCTAATGAGAGTTCGTTTCCCGTGCGTGGTCAAGGTTTTGCCCATAACCCAGCACTCTGGTGATGTGGGTGGAGTTCGATTCTCACCTAGGGCGAGCAGTTTTGTGCACAACCTAGCATTTTCGTGATGGCTCTAACAAGTCTATTTGAAGCTCTAACAAGACTT